CAGCTGCTCTGGCTGAACAATAACCCCATAACGAATAAAAAATGCAGCAGTGCAGCCCGCAGCCGGCGGTGGGGCAGGAGGCTGGCAGCAGAGCTCCGGTCCCCGGGGGGTGCAGCTGGGGGAGGGAAGGGCTCCCACGATGCCTACGTGAGAGGGACACTATCGTTTAATTTAAAGAAGAGTTTCTGGCTGGGGGGGAGTCCCAGCAGCTCAAATTCCTGGGCCAACGCTTTGCTTCAACCGGTCACAAATATTTTTTAACAATCCTGAAGCAGCCGGCATGCGTGTCAGGTGTGTCAGGGCAGAGAACAAAGACACAGACACTTTGTCTGCACCGAGACTTGTGGAAAATTTCCCCTCTTCTTGCCGGAGCGCCCGGCTGGCTCCAGCAGGGCTCCTGGCCTCTGCAGCTCCCGTCAACTGCTCGCTGTCATTTTGTATATCCTCTCATGTTGGCTGGCTCTGGGCAACTTAGCGAAGACCGTAATTAAACGTTGGGTCTGCCCTCTGCGAAACCTCCTAGAGCTGTTACAGGAACCGATGGTAAGTTTCAAAACTCCTGACACAGCTGGAGATGAGGACATCTCGGAGAGGCAACCATTGACTAAGGGCCACAGAAACTCTGTCACGCCTCAGGTGGCACCTTGCCCAGGAAACACTCATTTCCCCGTGACACTGGTCAGCCAAGCTTCCTTGCAGAAAGGTTCCTCTATGCCCTTTTACATGCTGCAGAAGAGATCGGATCTGCTATAATTTCTATAGCTGACTGTATTTCTCCGTGACTATAAGCAGTAACATGCAGTTCTGTGCTTGATGACCAAGGCAGAGTATTTCCAATTTCTTCAAGGAGAAAAAAAAGAGTGTCTGGAAAGTTTTCACAGGCTATTTCCCACACGGGCACTACTTTAGCAAGCAATGTTTGCTTCCCACATGCCGGACTAGCCGTGGCACTTCAAATCTGCGTCTGCTCTGTTTAGGAGATCAAAGCACACTGCAGTAGGAGCAAATCTGGTCATTCCTAATGCTTGCAGTAATGGGGGGAAAACGACATTCAAGATTTCTCTTTAGATTATGCAGAGCTTGCAGACAACCCCGTTCCCTCTTCCCCCCAGCTTTAGAGCTCTGTTTTTAACCTGAATGAACTGTTCGACCTCAAAACCAAAATAATTTCTTCCTTAAGCAATAAATTAGGCCAGAGAGCTAAAGTAACTTATCAGAAAGTATCACATCACTGTGGCTTTTGTGCAGGGGACAATATTCTGGCCTGCCACTGTGGAGCCATCCCTTGTTGTGCCGGGGTGGCTGCTCTGTTTATTTGCAGAGCCATAGTGCCACAGGGAAGCCGGAGACACCCGATATTTAGCTGTGAGCTAATGCTTCCTAATCCAGCCCAGCAGCCACACAAAGCCTGCGAGGTCCTCTCCGGCCCGCTGGGATTAACTCAGCCAAAAGCTCGGGCAAGCTCTCCTTCCTGACAGTTGGAGCAAGGTGGGTCTAAAGCTTTGCTGGTCAGGAGAGGCTCAATGGTCTTCCTTCCGCAGAGGTGGAGGCCACCACCAACTCAGGCCGGAGACTTGTGAGGAGGCAGCAGGTTTCCCTCGGTGGAGCAGCACGGTGGGCAGCAGCTCCCGGGGCTTGGCAGGAGCTTGGCTCCCTCGAAAACACTGACCTCGGTGGGGAAGACATTGCCTGTACGCACTGCAAGGGCAAGGGGCCAGCTCCGGACCCCCGGGAGCCTCCTGCATCACAGAGCGGCTGTGCGGGGGCGGTGGGCTCGGGGGGGACACGCTGGGGAGCCCTGTGCCAGGAGGAGCAGCTCTGCCCAAAAACAACCAACAACTTCACCTAACTGCTTGTTTCTGGCCGCAGCTGGGGGAATAGCAAGGATTTGCTCACCGTCAGGCGCAGCCAGTGAAACAAGGCAGCTCAGTTTTCACCGAAAAACGTTTCTGAATCAGCTGACAGCGACGCAGTCTTCCATTCTGGTTTTTGAGGAGGAGGATTTTCATTTTGCAGAAAGTTTCAAAATCTGGGTTTTGCAGAAATTTTCAAAATCTGGGCTTCCGTTCTCTTCTGAAAAACAAACCCATTTTAAAGAGCTGGGATTTCCCGGAGAGCAGAAACCCTTGTTTCGTGGACTGAAGGCGGGTGGGACGCCCGGGGGCACAGGGGTGCAGGGCCTTTCCCCACGCACGAGCAGCTGGCGCAGCCCGAGTGACCCCACACGGTAAAACCCGGGGAATGCAGACGCCCGGCGTGCGCGGTTACAGGTGTGGGCGTGCGGCACGGTGCCGGTGCCGGCTGCGTGTCTGAGCTTCCCTGGGTCATGTTGTACCGAAATGGTGGCACTCTTCACGGCCCCCGTCCCCCCGGGAGCGGCAGGGGAGCAGCAGCTCCCCTTGCAGCAGAGGGTGCCCGCCGGGTGCCACGCGGGAGCGGGGTCTGGCCCCTTCGCCCACCGCTACGGCCCCTCTCACTGCCCTCTGGCTTTTTGGGCAAGAAGGAGAAAGCACTTTGCAAGCTGCAAAGCAAAGGGGAAGGCTCTGGCCGGACCTGCAGACTCCATCAGGGCCATGTCTAACACCAGGAGACACAAAGATGTGCTTTAAGTGAAAGAGACTGTAATATGCATAGCCTTCTCTCTTTGGAGACTATCAAGAGAAGCAGTCTTGGTTTCAAACAGCACTCTCACGCCAGGGGTTACCCGCACCGTGCCGGGACTGGTGACCCCGTCGGCCGAGCAGAGCACGGCTCAGCAGAGAGCTGCTCCTGGGGCAGCTCTTCAGGGGACATGGGGGATAACGTAGGCATAAGTGGCTGGAAACGGCAGGACGGGGGGGGTGGGGGGAAGAGAGAGGTGGTAGTGACAGAGCAAGCCCCTCATCGGAACAGAGCGCAGGGGAGAAAGCCTTCCCGCTGTGGAGCAGCGTTTGGAGGCCCAGCGCTGCCAGGTCAGTGACGCAGGGGCAGGTTCGCCTGGTTCCCATACATATCCATTGCCGATTAGCCAAATTTACATTTAGCTAACTTGACATTGCAGTGCCTGAGCGATCACCAGCCTGGAGACACAGCTAGAGCAACTCCTGTTTGAAGAATAGTGTCTGCTTTTGGTTTCAGACCCAAACCCCAAACCAGTCTGACCAGCTGGAACCCAGTTTCAGGTTACACCCTGCCTTGCTCTCTGGGTGACTTAGTGGGTAATGATCTCAATCCCAGCACACCTCACGTGGTAGTTGCCTCTCCAGGTATCCACACACGTCGCATCCCCCACTCCCAGCCCTCCCCAAGCCATGGGACCGCTGCAGCTGCAGCAACACCCGAGCGCTCTCCCCTGAGCTACCGCAGTCTGGGCAGATGAAAGGGTGCGAGATAGCAGGCATGGGAACGGTACCTGCCCCCTCTGCGGGTCATTGCTTCTCAGACACCACTCCCAAGTCAGATAAGACAAACAATTCCTTTTTATTATCAGAGTGAGCGCACAAAAAAAATGAATCAAGATGTTAGGCTTATTGCATAGGCCATGATAGGCTGTGGGAAAAACAAAGAGATGGAAGACACGATACGAGACAGATCATGAAAAGCCATGGAGGAATCTGACCAGCCCCAGGGACACTGAGGCAGATGCCCGTGACGGGGAGAAGCGTGCCGTCAGATTGCCAGCAGGCTGTGGGCTGCGCTTTCTTCCCTTCCAGCATCGGCCCAACGAGGCAGCTCTCCTGGAGCTGCACTCGAGAGGACCTGACCCGTGCCCTGAGCTGGGCATGGCTTCGCCAGAGCCTTCCAGAGTCACTCTGCCCTCAGCCCTGAAAGGGTCCAAGCATTTAACCTAAAGTCTGTACATAGATTTATGCTCCTTACACACACGCGCGCACGCACACACACATGCAAACACACATGCGCCGATTTCCTCTCTCTTCACAGCAGGAGTTTTCCAAGAGCAGCAGGCACTGGAAGTTTGGGGATTGGCGCCAACCCCACAGCCGACAAAGCGTACCAGGCGCTTCAGAAATAGCAACTTCTGCCCCCAACAGAAGTCCTCAGCTCCCAGAGGTACAAGCCTGGACAGCAGAGATGCAGCAGAACAGATCTCACTGCAAACAGCCTACGGGGAAACAGATGGGACCTCGCCGAAGCGGGGATGTCACACGCTGCCATGGGGCCAGGGATGAGCTCTGGACCTCCCGGGGCTGGGCTCATCTTGCACCGGGAGGGACGGGCCAGCAGGAGCGAGAAAGCCCGGGGACATTAGCTGGCGGTATCCAGCCCACTCCTGTGCTCTGGGAGATGCCAGGGACTCAGGTCAGGCTGCGTGCTCGGAGGAGAGCGCAGTAAAATCAAAGCTGCAGCAAAGGTCCAACTGCGAGGGAGGTGAGTCCTTCCACCCTCCTCTCACCATTAGCAGAAAAAGTAGGGACATTTCCTATCCTTTCATGTGAGAATAAATAGATATTTTCTCAATGTGTTTGGGTTCAAACACTGGAAAAGCAACCAGGGCAACTCACAGAGAGAAAATGGACACGTACTGTACATAGGAGGCTGTAACATGGCAGCCAGGCAGAAAAAAATCTAAGTGTGCTTTGCTGTTAAAAAACAAAGCCTAGTGATTAAAGCAGGTATTTCTGTTTCCTTCCATCTCGAAAACAGGAACCACTGGAGAGAGTCACAGGGCCCTTGGAACAGGTCTGGACAGTTATGTGAATCTCACAGCCCTCAGGAGGCTCACCAGGACCAGGAGGGCTGCCGGGAGGCAGGGCCACCTTACAGAGGACTGGGGGAAAGGGAGGAAAATACGACGTTGGGTGGAAGAAAGTGGCACTGCAAACAAAAAATTGCTGGCTCCGGTGAGCTTGCACCATTCACCAACGTGAACGCTACACAGATCCAGTCCCAGGGTTCTTCAGTAAGTTGAGCTGAGTTGTGTTCCGGGTTTGAGCAGGAAGAAAGATGTAATTCAGAGTGTCACTGGATTGTTTGAGGTTAGGAAGGGATAGACATCAGAGAGCATCAAAATGCTCCCAGATCCTCACTTTCCAGAGCAGCCATTTAGCCAAGACAATCACAAACACTAGTACTGCCAAATCATGGCTAGATCTTGGCCTGATGCTACAAATGTCTTCGAAGAGAAAGAGTCCTTCAGGCACAGGCCCGTGGCTAAAAACAGAACTCCGGAATTTTTGGGGAGTGCCCCAGTGCTGGGCTGGAGAGAGAGGGGCTGTCGGTCAGACTGGTTTGGTGGCACTGCTGTAAAACAGATGCTCAGTGTCCTCTGTGGTGGAGAGGGTTGAGTTGGTAGCAGTGGTCGGCTGACGGCGGCATCGCCAGGACCACCATGATGCAGATCCCGAGGACCACGGCAATCACTACCTCAAAGACACCTGCGGGGGATACATGAACACGTTAGAAGGGCTGCTCCACGAGCTCTGATGCAGCAGGGGCAGTCAGGAAGAAGCAAGCACAAAAGCTGCTGCAGAAGCTGTGCTGGCAAAGAGAAGAGGTGGGCACTAGCTGGCCTGACAGCAGGGTGGTCACTGCACAACTGGGCAAAGAAGAAAGAAGGCAACCACATGGCATAAGGGTATGGCCAGGGTATAGCCAGCCTGTCTCTCCCAAATCATGGTTCCCATCATTTCCCAGATGCACCACGCCCTCTAAAGGCTATTCGGTAACTTCGGCAGGCTTGGCCATTTGACACCTCTATGAATATCAAGCCCTTCTGCAACGCTGGCCTTGCTTCATATGTCAACAGGGAGGCCACCAAGGGGTGGTCACAAAAAGCACCTCCTGGTTGGGATAACGCTGTCGGAGTGAGCTATGGTGGATAGGCTGAGTTTGTGGGGAAAGAGCTCGTAGCAATGCTGTGAGCACTTGGTCTTCTACAGCCAACCAAACTCCTGCATCATCAGTGGAGACAGTCACGTGATGCATTTGAGAGCTGGTGTGAATTTGAAGATTAAATCAATCTCTAGGGTTGAAGAACAGAAGTGTATAATTTCAGGAGGTCTCTGCTGAAGAAAGAGGCCTTACAGCTCTGTGGTGAAAGGACACCAACCTTAACATGATATTCTTTTAAGAACTTGTAATTCAATAGGTTTGGTGTTCTTTACAGTTGTAGAGAGGGTGTATAGGGTCATCAGATTTCCCCACAGTCTAGCACCCAACATTATTCACATACCCACTTGGGCCTTCTTTCTTGCAGAAGTTAGTGGTCCTTATGTGAACTTGGCCCTTAGGAAGAATTTTACTTGCCATTTTTTGATGTTGAACAGTGGAGCATTCATACAAGTTGATGGAAGGAAAATCAGGAGCCTCTGATATGAGCTACTGAGTCACAGACAATGGAGAAATTGGACCACAGATGCACAGTGCACAGAAGCATCTCTTGCCACTGCTAGCATCCCACAAATCCCACATTGCTCCCTCAGCTTCAAAAGGCGGGTGGGAGGGAAGGCTATTGTTTGCAAGGAAAGACAAAATATTTTTCAGGACAGGGTAAAAGCAACAAGCAAGATCTGTAGGAAAAACTGTTACTCACTTAAGATAGCCCTTTGGGACTCAAATGATTCCCATCTCCGGCCAATGGCATCTGCTTCTGAATTGGGAGCAGAGAGGGGAAAAAAGTTTTACAAAGAAGGTTGGGAACAAGGGATAAGACAGGTTTCTGAGGAGCATATTTCCAGTGCTCTGGAGTGACGGAACGCATACAGCATCCCTCTTGACAGCCATGGTACTGAGCTCTCAGGGCAGGCTGTGAAGCACAGTGTGGCTGAGGGTGGCACTTCAGAAAAGCAGCGGTAGTTTACCTCCTAACAGATAACAGTTTGGCAGAATTCCTCCTGTTTCAGCTGTTGGCCTCCACAGCAACACGTACAAAGCTCTACAGTGTAAACCTTTCCCTCTTGGTTGTTTAAAACTTCTGCCTAATATGTGTCATTGAGGATTTTCTTAATTTCTCCCCTCCCACTTGGGGAGAACTGGCGCCAAGCTAGAAAGTTAGATTCTCTTTAGAGAAGCCATACCGTAACTCTGGTTAGTTTTGTCATCCTCCTCTGTCCCTTTTTCAACATCAGCACCCAAAATGTTTTCCAGCTCTGAGAAATGACAGGCTGCATTGCCGAAAGATGCTGTAGATACACACCGTTCCCCGTAAGCCACCGGTCATGTTGAAGAACACCGTGAGACATGGCCAGGGTTTGAGAGCTGAGCTGCTTTGACTGAAAGCTCCCATGTCACTGCCTCTTTGGGACCACAGAATTTAATCTCCAGTGATTTTCATAGTTTGATCAGTAAAACTCCAGCCCTCCCTATGTCTGCTTACTTGTGATGCCTGAACATGATTTCATGCACTCTTCCTCTTCTTCAAAGTTGTTGTTGTTGCCACCACAGCCCCCGTAGGTGAAGGGGTCACATTTCTCAGAGAATGGGTTATAGTACCAGCGGGGGATGCTCTCGGTGCACTGTCCAGTATCAGGCAAGTCCACACAGTGACCTGGCAAAGGAAGGCAGAAGTGCTCTAGCCCAAGCAGTGTGTTGCCAGAGCAGCAACATTTTCTGCTCACAACAGAAGAGCACAAGCACCATGGTAGAGGGAATCCATAGCCAGAGCAGTGGCTCTTGGGTCCCCGCTGCCCAGTTGCCAGCTGCTCAAATTGGCATTACCAGGGTGAGCTGCCACCTGCCCATAAACCCGACTGGCAAGGAGGAAAAAGGAACATCGGAGTGTGCAGTCATGCTGGACCTTGGATTCTATCCCCTGCAGAAATGACCTGTCCTCCTCGGGAGGCAGAAGAGAACATGAAAAGCCTGGACATACAGAAACCACAGTTCTGCTCGGGTCTCCTCTACAAGCAAGCTGCATTTAAGTTCACTCGGGATATACTCTTTCAGCCCAGTGATAGTGCCACTGTCTACACTAGTACAAACAAGGCAAAGGTATGGGATCGAGCACAGGCATATGATTACTTGTATTATGCCATTGTTGTGTCCCCCACACTGCTTTGGTTTGCACTATTTCCAAAAAAGTGCTGCAGGGTTTTGTACAGGCCAGGTACTGTGCCCACCAGGCAATATGCACGAGACCTGCTTGGGTGGAAAAAGTTTAGGTAGGAGAGTGAAAGCCTGCTATAAACAGCTGTCCTCAAGGTCAGAGAACAGGCCCTTACTCATTTTTAGTACAGGGACCGCCCAGATGCTACACCCGTTTTTGAAATTACACAGAGAAGCAGTTTTACCATGAAACAACAGACTGAAGAAAAAACCAAAAGGTGGTAGATGTCAGCCTAGGTGCTCCAGACAGTACATACCTTGCTTATGTGTGACATTGATTTTTTGCAGGCCCTTGCTCATTTTTAGTACAGGGACTGCCAGATGCTACACCCGTTTTTGAAATTATACAGAGAAGCAGTTTTACCATGAAATAACAGACTGAAGAAAAAACCAAAAGGTGGTAGATGTCAGCCTAGGTGCTCCAGACAGTACATACCTTGCTTATGTGTGACATTGATTTTTTGCAGTCTATTGAACTCACGAGCATCTGCAAGAGAAACATTTCATGTTAAAACTTCTCTCACCAATTGAATACAAAAGAAATGCCTCTGTCCATGCAGACATGGGCAGACAGGGCTTTCCTGCACATTCCTTTGCTATCACAAGCCAGGGAAAGGGAGATAAAATTTGAGGTTCTTGAATATCTCGAAGCTATGAGAGGAACATGGGAAAAATAAAATGTAATAATGACAAACTATTCCCAATTTCTGTTCCACAAATACAGAGACAAAACTAAGAAAAACAAAGCTGCTTTCTTATTCCTTTTTCCATCAAGTATGGGGAAACTGCTATCACTCCAGGCTTTAAGAAGTGTGAAAGAGCACTAGTGTAGGATATAAGAGGGCAAGAGAGATGAATCATATGCTTGCAACCTAAAAAGGCAACAAAACACCTACGTATAGGAAAGAGACTGGGAATTCTATCAGAAGAGGGAGGGAGGGAGAGACAAAAGGAGGGAGGAGGGATTGCAGACTTGGGCAGCTCACCACTGTGCATTTACATTAGCATAACGTGAGGATGTTAAGGGGACTGTGACACTGGACAGACTGGGAGAAATCATGGTTTCATTTTCCATCTCCCTAGGAACTCTAGGAGAGCAGGTAAGGTCATTCAGTGAGAAAAATATTGGAAGGGGAGGGGAGGACAGGCTCTGAAGTCTTACAGACAGGTGCAGAGAAGAGAGTCGAAGAGTATTTAAGGGCCAGGAAACATCCCAGAAGGAAGATCAGCTCTTGCAGTCAGCAGAGATATGGGAGATGGCAGAACCTGCAAATACAATACTGCGGAAAGAGGTAATACAGGGTCAGGAGATAAGAACAGAAGGCACCAAAAAGCACTGAGTCAACACCTGTAACTTATATTGCACTCATCCCTGGGCAGATACTAAGTTGTCTAACCCAGAACTTGAAGTACTTACATTGTTCACAATACATCTCGTCCGATCCATCTGCACAGTCGAGCGTTTCATCACACTCCAGATAGGCATCAACGCAGCAGCCATCCTTGCATCTGAAGAAGGGGGACTGACAGTTCCCATTGCACACTGCATCAGAAACAGTTCAGATAGCTCATTAAAATTCATTGCTTCTCCCTGCCACACAGATGCTTTATGAGGGACTTAAAAGCTGCTGATAGGGCTGGCAAACAAGAAACAAGGCAGATTGGTTAAGTTCTCTTTTCAGTGCCACCCTGGACACAAAAAAAAAAGAAAAAAAAAATCATTTATTGTTTATAAATGAAACATTGCTCTGGGAACAGCCATGCTTCCTCTCAAAAAAGAAGTACACAGAAGGTGGAAGCAAGAATGAGCTACTCCGGAAGAATATGGAGGCATTGCCCGAGCATGGGGGATTAAATTAGGAAAGCCAAACTGAAACCTGGCTGCGAGAGCCAAGGAAGAGAGCGGTTATTCCTCTCTGCTCCAGAGGTGGTCCCAAGTGCTGAGTACTGTGCCCAGTTCTGAGCTCCCCAGTGCACAAAAGACATTGGCATACTGGAGTGAATCCAGTAGAGACTCAGCAAGGGGCTGGAGCACAAGACCTAGCGTGAGGTTATGGAAAAGACAGAAACAGACTCATTTTGGAGGTGCACAGTAATAAGATGAGCAGCAACAGACAGAGTTGCAACAAGGGAAAGTGATTCGATATAAGGGGAAAAAAATAACGAGGGTCATCAAACACTGGCACAGTTTGACCAGAGAAAGTATAAAATCTCTTTCGTCAGAGATACCCAAAGCTGGACTGGATGCAGTCCTAAGCAACCCAATGTGACTCAAAGCTGGCCCTGCTTTGAGTAGTGGGTTGGACCAGATGACCTCTAGAGGTAATCCCCAACCTGAATTATCCTATGACATGAAAGTGAAAGGCTTAGTAAAGAAATCAGTCTTCAGTGCCTCATTTTCCACAAGTGACTGAGTGCTAATCAAAAGCCACAGAAATGGACGTGAGACACTGAGCCTGAGCTCCCAGCAGGGTTACACGGTGGTATGGGAGGCTCACCTGGCTGTTGTCGCCCACCAACAGAACCTGCAGAGACAAGAGGAAAAATAAAATAAACTTACCACCACATCATTTTGTCAGCTCAAGACCAGCTTTATATTGCCTTCATATCTCACCTAAGAAGTGCATATTTTCTGGAAGCAAGCCCTGTAGGGGTTAGGGAGGGGAAATACGGACACCCACCACCCAGAGACCCCAGATGAGTAGTACCCACGTGAGGCAGGCCTGGAGGAGCACAGGGGAACTTCCCACCACTAGCTAGAGCGTTCCCAAACGGTCTTTCTTTTCCAAGGCTTTTGATTCCTCCTCAAGCTGTGCACCGCAAAGGGCCTGGCAGAGGCTCAGCCCGTTTATCTGAGGCAGCACTAAGTCATTCTCAGACTTGGCTAAAAGGGTGCCAAGGAGGAAGATTAATTTCGTTTTGGGAGTGAAGCACTTCTGGCTCCCCCCACAGCACAATGCTGAATTTAGGTTTCAGATGTGACACGAAGGTTTGGTGAGAGTTTCTGCAGCCAGAGACACAGCAGGGACTCTGACCAGGGGAGCGGTGCTCCAGGAGCTGGGTCAGATATGTTGGCAGTGTAAGACTAGGACTCCCCATCCATAATTAGCCCGGTCTCCTCAGCTCTCCGGGCTCTAACTAGCTGCCAGCCAAGAAGCTGCAGCACCTGCCCACAGGGTCATTCCAGTCCTATGAGAAAGAGGGGGCTGACTTTTGAAGAAGACTCACCTCTAACATTCTTGCAGGCAAGTTTACACTCCTCTTCCCGTAAGTAGTTATTCTTGTTGGGCTTGCAGCCGCCAAAAATGAACTCCTCACACTGCTGAAGGCTTGGGTTGTAAAACCAACGTGGAAAAGATCCCCGACACCAACCCACCTTCTTAGGAGTCAAACAATGCTCTATGAAGAAAGTTAACATAAAAGGCTCTGGTTAGCTTGCTTTGCCTTCACATATACAAAGGAGAAAATCTTCCAAAGGAAAGTTCGTCAACAGTGTGGACACTTGTCTGAAAGATTTATAAAATCTTGAGCAGCACGGAGAAAGTGAGTAGGAAATCATGGTATATATTTTCTTATATGAAAGGCAGGGTCACAAAATCAAATTAGAAGGTGCCACATGCATAAAACAAAAGGAGCTGCTTCTCCACACAACACATAGTTAAGCTGTGAAACTCCTTGCTTCAGGATGTTACTGCTGTGCAAAGATTACATGAGGTCAAAAAGGGATTCATCCATGGCTATTAAACACAAAGACACCATCTTCTGCTTAAAAAATCTCCCAGCTGCAAATTGCCTGGGGACTAGCCAAGCATAGTAGGGATTTAGTGATAGCATGTCATATTCTTGTACTCTTTCCAAAGTATCAACCTCTGGATGCTGTTGGATGCAGTGTACTGGATTTTGGACACACCATTAGTGTCACTTGACGTGGCTGTTCTTATATTTTCATGGTACCTGTGGTAGGAGGAGAAATTCCCTGCTTAGCTACTAGTCAACCATTTGTCCAAGAACTCCTTGCTCCTAATGCATTTGTAATGCTGAACATTTTGATCATTAAACAAGGCCATTTAAAGTAAAACATATAAATAAAGCCAGGGACACTTTGAATGTCATGCAGATGGCTCCACCTATCCTGCAGCTTAAGGGAATTAGGGCCTTCACAGCAAAACCATGGAGTCAACAAGACCTTTCAGGTTCTCCTGCCTTACACGCAAGTTGCACCCTGGGCTTCAGCCACTCTGGCGTCACCCAGCAGAGGGCAATGACATGCAGAGAGGATGGGGTTATATTGCAGGCCACCTCTTCTGCAAGTGGATGTGAAAACCCTAAAATAGACCACTATGAATGTGGAGACCTTCCACTACTGGTCAGGTGCAGGCTTTTACTGGGAAAAGTTGACATGCAAGTCCGGTCTCCTGGTTGTGCTCTTTTCCCACCTACCCTTCTGAGAAGAGCACCAGCAATGCCAGAGCAGCACCCAGGCTTGGGGACTCCAGCTAGCCATCCGTGGGGTCAGGCTCACCTTCAGTCTGCTCAGAATTCAGGACCATGATGGTGATGTTGGTGAAGTCTTGCTGTTGTGCAGTGTCCGTGACAGTAAGCTGGAAGACGTATATCCCCGCCTGTAGGTTGGAGATTTCTACCTGATCTTCTTCGTGCTTCTGAGAATGTAAAAGAAAGGTTTATGCAGAAGAAGGCACCTCTAATGAGGGAGTGAGTGAAGCCATGCAAGGCCCATATTCCTATGGATGGAAACCCCCAAGCAGATGTCTGGCATGAAACATGTCTCAGTGCTATACCATCCCCCCAAATCCATGGGCTGGTACCCAGCTGGAATAGCAGAGAAAAAAACTACCACAAGCGTAATTAAATATTTTGTATTTTGGGTCATTGTGAAGGCACGAGCGAAAATAAAAATCTTGTAAATACCTGAAGTATTCTGAATATCTGAAATACCTGTAGTTTTTATTTTACTTTTTTAAAAATGAAACCTATTATGAATCATTTACTTAGTACATAGGAAATAAGCTAAGTGTATTTAAAACACATATACTTTTTCATTTTGAATATGACAAGTATATTTAGTTTTAGAGATGGAAATGAGTGCCTATTTCTTTGCCTGCTGAGAGGTTTCTAATAGAGGACTCTTTTTTTTCTTTTTCCCCTGAAAGTTGCTTTTGTTGGGCTAAGGGAAGGGAAAAGGAAAGGAGCACTTCCAGATTTCCACAGCCACCTCAGCACCCATCAGCGGTGGGCCTGATGCACTCATTTGCTAATTCTTCCAAAAGGTGCCACAAGAGCTCCATATGAGCTCCAAGGCTTTCCAGAGCATTTTGCAGAAGTTAACAGTAATCATTAGCTCTTCTAAAGCCACAATTCACATTTAACATCTATCAGATAGGCAGTGTTCACACCCCAGAGATCTTGGTGTCAGTCAGGAGACATGACTTCTGCTCCAGCTCAGTTAAAATAGGAGGAGGAACCTATGCTCTAAAGAGAGGCAAAGTCCAGGAAAAACTCCAGGAGAACAGAAGCAGAGCCTGAGACTAGATTATTCAGAGCCAGAGGAGGAGAAGCACCAAAGCGGAGCAAAGCAAAACTAAGGGCAGGCCCCTCACTGGAGCTTGGGAGCAGAGGCAGCTCGTGCACCGAAGCTGCTGCCCTCTCGGGTGCTCCCAGCCAGGCAGATCAGGTGTTGCTCGGGAAGGTTTGAGATGGCATCCTGGTGCAGGGAGCCTGAGACCCAATGAGGCCAAGAAATGCCACGTCCCAGTAGTGTGCGAGAGGGTGGGAGCAACCACGAGGAGTGCTCCATAGCTTTTGGGAACAGGCTCGTGGGTGGACTGGCTTGAGGAGGGAAGGACAAGGTGACCTCTAAGTCAGTGGCTGTGAGAGCCCAACCTAGCGCAGACCACAGGTGACACTGAGCAAGCTGCTTCCTTCCTGCAGCTCCCTACCTTCATCTCCACAGAGGGGTCGCCGAGGACCTGTTTCCATTCATAGCTGACTATCCCTCGGTCATCCGTGCTCTCTGTGCCTCTCAGCATCACTGGCTCCCCTGGCTGTACCCTCAGGTCCATGCCAGTGCGGGCTATTGGAGGATGGTCATCTGCAGAAGAAACGCAGAACACGGCTTGGGTAAGAGGCTGAAGGGTCCAGTCCTTGTCTCCATTACAGGAAGACATGGGAGAGGGATTCTTCCAGGCTAAATCAGTACAGACTTCAACCACTGAAAGGGAAACGCTTTTATACAGTTGTGCTTCTTGCAGCCTGAGCGAGCAACAGGCAATCAATACCGTTATTACTGCCCTCACTAATTTGGTAACTCCGCAACCCACTCTGGTAGTGCCTTTGAGCCAGCTGGCTCCCTGACCGCTTCTGCCCACAGGAACCACCGTAAGAGGGTGTCCCTGTGGCTGCAGCCATTGTGCTTCTGACCGTCGGACCACATCCTCGCAAAACAGCACAGAGCAATCTCCACCCTTCGCTTAAGGAGATGACCTGATGTGGGTGTTGAAGAATGTGGAACTGACTCTCACTGTTCCTACCACCATCGCTAAGCACTATGTTAGCGTACTTAACCAGAGCTATGCAACGCAGGATTTGGATGGGAAATATCCCTCCTCCACCTCATCTTCCACCCCGCTCTCTGATTCGCATGCCTTAAAAAAAGCACACAAATGCCATTCATGAGATCATTATTTTTGTGCCATTCCACGGATTAGCTTACCAGCAGCCTCCACAATCCATGAAACACTTTTCCAGACTGTAAGTGTAAGAGCTGAAAACTGATCCCTGCCCGTGCCAGCAAGAACAGCCTACACAACGACACCATTGAGCCTGACTCAGAACGCCTTTCGGCCTGAACGTCTCTGATCGCAGGCTTCCTGCATAGCTCAGCCCATAAAACTCCACATGATAGTGCCTGTACCAAGTCCAAGACTCAACGTTCAAGTTCAGCCCGAGTCTTTTGTAAAGGCATCGATCGTCATTTATAAGCTAGATATCAATCACACTACCATTACACTGTTATATCGACTGTGACTGAACAAGAGGGTTAGTGCCCAAACCCCTAAGAAAAATACTCCATCAGCTAATTATTTTCACTGTTGTGGACTTGTTCCGAATTTCCTGTTTGAGCGTTTCTGGATTCAGGTCCCAGCGGCTGACTCTTGCTAGAGCCTACTTAAGGGACCTTTAATGTAAGGCATACATACAAATAAACCTGACATTCAAAACAAGCTACGGTTTAGTTCTTTCATCACTAAATTCAGTAGGATAGAGGGCTTTGCAACACGTATTCCAGATCAGTTACCACAAATCTACCCAGAATCTTCTATTTTCTAGTATCTTTTACCAAATGAAGACATAATTCATTCCATCCTGGTCTTACAAATGCTGCTGCCACCAGAAAGTCACAGGGGAAACAAACCTTCCCTTGTTTCCACGTTCGAGCATTGCGCTCAGCCTCTTCGGCTGCAGAATCGGGGAGGGTTATGTGCGCGCCAGCCCTCGGAGGATCCCCCTGCAGCCTGCTCCCCAGCTGCAGCCCTGCAGCTTATCTCTCTCATCGCCGGGCTGACGGGGCTGCGGTTTTACTGTGTGAGAAGGGGTCAGCCACTTCTAGCTTGTGCAGCTGCAGGGCTTCTGGTTACATTTATGGCACCAGTCTGTGCGCTCTCTGCAGTCTGTCACGGGTTTTATCTTTTATTCCATCTTTTCGTGTAAGTATTGGGTGGGAACAATATGGGATCAAGCTCATATTGTCGAGCTTGATCCAACCACTAAAATAGGCAGAGAATACCCAGCTGGGCTGAAAGAGGCCAGGAAGACAATACCTGCATCACAAGCAGAGATGCCCACCCTGGTGTCCTTTCAGCTTTGGGTGAGGCATAGGAGGCCGCACCTTGAATCCTGTGTTCAGTTTTGGGCCCCTCACTACAAGAAGGACATTGAGGTGCTGGAGCGTGTCCAGAGAAGGGCAACGAAGCTGGTGAAGGGCCTGGAGCACAAGTCTGATGAGGAGCGGCTGAGGGAACTGGGACTGTTTAGCCTGGAGAAGAGGAGGCTGAGGGGAGACCTCATCGCGCTCCACAACTACCTGAAAGGAGGTTGTAGCGAGGTGGGGGTTGGTCTCTTCTGCCAAGTAACTAGTGATAGGACGAGAGGAAATGGCCTCAAGTTGCACCAAGGGAGGTTTAGATTGGACATTAGGAAAAACTTCTTTACTGAAAGAGTGGTCAGGCCTTGGAACAGGCTGCCCAGGGAAGTGGTAGAGTCACCATCCCTGGAGGTATTTAAAAGATGTGTAGATGAGGCACTTAGGGACATGGTTTAGTGGGCATGGTGATGTTGGGTTAACGGTTGGACTTGATGATCTTAGAGGTCTTTTCCAACCTTAATGATTCTATGATTCTATGATTCTATACCTCCCTGCTGCTCCTCCCTCAGGGCTGCATCCCAGAGTGATGGGTCCTGTCTCAATCAGGCTCAAAGACTGCTTGCTGAAAGACGCCAAGCAGGGCCAAGAAAGTCTGGCACCTCTTGGTTTTGAGCAGGGCCAGTAGAACAAATAAAGGGAGTTTCGCTTTATTTTCAAGTGATCTTGCCACAAGAACATTCATAGGCGAAAGCAATGACTGGAGCTGGCAACACCTTCCAAACCAAACAGGGAAAAACAGCCCCAGAGCCCTGGAAAGGGGGTACATTCCTGCCGTTCCTCCCAGGCAAACACCATGACCTTGCCAGGGAAAAGTGCAGCCTGCTCCCTGCCGCCCTCCTGCCAGGGTGAGCCCAGTAGGTGGATGCGATTGCACAAGGGAAAGACCAGTTCTTCAGCACTGCAGAGGCCGGTCATTAACTCACAACAACCCCAAATCATGTTTTTTCCTTATAATTTTTAAGCATGTACACTTAAATTAAAAAAAATTGCAGGCCACATATTTCTCCACAGGTCAATTTAATTACTTTGGGTTGTGGATTGCATGGTGAAGTAAAAGGTTGGTTCTGATCAATGGGTCAGCAACCTGTCCAGATTCCATCTCTGATTAGCCAAATTGCTGGACCCTCCTCACCTCCAGAAAAACAGTCAGAGTATTTGCTTATGTGCAGTGACTGCCAAGGAGGAACTCCCACTAGAAATGAAGGACTTCATTTTCAAGTCTCTCCCTTTTCTCCTCAGGACATCTGAAAGCTCAGTGACTTTGGACTATTTCTGATACACTGACTATATGAAGCCTTCAGTGGCAACGTGGCTGTTGTCCACCTGAGCTTCATGTCCAGAAAGACATGGACCTGTTGGAGCGGGTCCAGAGGAGGCCACAAAAATGATCAGGGGGGTGGAACGCCTCTCCTATGAAGAAACGCTGAGAGAGCTGGGGTTATTCAGCCTGGAGAAGAGAAGGCTTTGGGGAGACCTTATTGCAGCCTTTCAGTACTTAAAGGGGGCTTATAAGAAAGATGGGGACAGACTTTTTAGCAGGGCCTGTTGCGACAGGACAAGGGAGAATGGTTTTAAACTAAAAGAGGGTAGATTTAGACTAGATATAAGGAAGAAATTTTTTACAATGAGAGTGGTGAAACACTGGCACAGGTTGCCCAGAGAGGTGGTAGATGCCCCATCCTGGAAACATTCAAGGTCAGGCTGGACGGGGCTCTGAGCAACCTGATCTAGTTGAAGATGTCCCTGCCCACGGCAGGGGGGTTGGACTAGATGACCTTTAAAGGTCCCTTCCAACCCAAACTATTCTATGACTCTATGATAACCGAGTGCTGACTGAGCCAGGGTGAGTATCAACAAACAGCTTATAGAAGGGACATTCTCCATTCAGTTTGTTTTGCTCTGAAAGTCTGTTTGAAAAATGGAAGTTACCTTTGCTATAATGCTCTTTTGACTACGGCAAGTTTCTGCTGTAAAACTCTCTAATTAACAGGGAGAGTAAAGCTTTATGATGCTGTTCTGTGTCGTGCTCTTTACTGTGGAACACATGCTCCTGGAGTCACATCATTAAGTGACAACTTCTGCTTCCATTTATAAAATACATCGGAAGGTGAAATATCTTTTCTTTATGATCCCGGAGAAAAGCTTGATAGAGTAAATCCAAAATGCTTAAAAACAAATTTATATGGCACACAGTGTATTCATGCCTCAGTCCATGTTTTTTTCTTTTTTAAAAATTTCGTCTAGTTTTAAGGCTTTGTGCAGTCAGTGGTTTGTCTGGCTTCACCTCTAACAATGAGTAAACTTGAACCAAAGTTGATGGGGGAACAGGAATCTAAAAGATATTAAATTCCTATAAGGGCTGCAAAAGTAAGCATCTAGGTGGGGGGAGAGACCCCACTAGGGACCTCGCTATCCGAACATGCAGGCACCAGTGAAATCCCGCAGCAGAAAGCACTTGCAAAGCTCCCAGTTTGGGGATTTCTCTTTTGCAGCTCAGATACCAGCTCTTGCCCTCGAGACACAAATTCACAGAAAACCAGATTTCCTCCATTCCAGCGCTCATGCAGATACACCCTGCGTACTTGAGACTATAAAGCAATGCTTGAAAATGCCTCAGAATGATTTGAGGTTGCCGCTAGGAAGAGCTGGAAAGCTTTCTCACGGTCACTGCGGGGCTCCTACAGCCCGCTGTTGCCTGCCATTGCAGCAGCAGCTTACAAACGAGACGAGTGCGGCTTGCACTGGGGACACCGAGGCACTGCGAGGGGAAGAAGCCCACTGAGGACAAAAGCCACTGCTCAAAGCCACTGGGCAGGCCAGTAGCAGAGACAGGAGCAGAAATGAGGGCACCCAAATTCCAGCATCCGTGAGACACACAACCTCGGAGATCTCAAGCGTCAGAAGCCAGCTGAGCCTGCCTGCTGCAAAAGCAAGCGGGCAGAGGCGGGCAGCAGCACAGCTCTCCCCACAAATGCTAAAGCTCTGCTCTTGCGTTGCTTCCAGGGAAGTCGTTCAAAAGCGAAGAGCTTTCAGGGAGGGTTCATTCAAATCTCACCCATCCACAGTAGAAAACTCTCCATTGTAACAGGCAAAGGTAATGAAGGATGCTGCTGCTGCTGCTACAGTGTTAATTTGCCTGAGGAGGGGGAGAGGGAGAAGGGAACAAGGCAAGGCAACATAGTGCCTGGAGAAAGAGAAATACAGGCTCTTTCTGCAGGGATTCATCCTGGCTGGGCAGCAAATACAGTCATGATAAAGCCATATAGTTTTCTGACATCTCATGCAGAGCCCAGCAGCTCTCAGCATTAATTTCTAGAGGTTTCTGTAGTGGTTTGTAAGAGGTGCACACAGCAAGTCAACTTAACCTCTCTAAAACAATACAGCACGACTGAACGGATTATATTTTTAGAATAATGCAATCTGCTGCTGCTGCCAGGCTCCTTCCGTCCTTCCTCAGGGTGCGGGAAACCAGTCCGACTTGCTTTAGCGGGCAGAGGGAAAGACTCTCCCGCGGGTCTTTGTGCCATTTTAGTAAAGATCGGTTTGTTCCTCCGGTCTCCTTAAATAGCTCCAGAGACAAGATGTGAGGTAGCCACAACATGTGGCACTTCAGTAAATTCTGCATGACAAACAGTAATTTCACAGCAAGTGGAGTGGAAGCTGCTCATCACCTGCTCTGAGCAGGGAGCTGGACCGGCTGGTCTCCGAGGGCCTTTCCAGTACGCATTAGCCTCTGAATCTGTGCCGTGGGTACTGAACGTGCAATTCCCCCTCTCCTGGCCTGAGCTGGGTGCTGGAGGACGAGCAGCTGGCTCAGGAATGAGCAACATCAGCCAAGGGGAGACCCGTGACCTGACCTGTCTCAGCCCCGGCCAGGGTCCCAGCACCGCTCATTTTAGTTGCACTGTGTCCGCAGAACGGAAACCAGCGCGGGACCAAACATTTGAAGAGGGATGAGCTTCAAACTTGGGGAGCTCTCTTTTTTGAATGCATTACCGAAGTTTTAACCTGCAAATCTCTCTCCACGGTGAGGCAGGAGCAGACGCATCCTGAACCCTGCGGTTCCCCAGCGCTTCCCGTCTCCCACTCACAAGCCCTGAATTCAACAGGAGGAGGAGAGTGTCACCGAGCATTTCACAACCACCACAATAAGGTTCAGTTCAAGAAACGGACAAAGGTTCAGGGAGGTTATTTTCCAGTTTCACACCCAGAACTGGTTTGCCTAGACCAGAATAAGCTCGGGGTAGTTACTTAAACACTGGGCTCCATTATTACCAATAAAGTGCATGGTGAGCCTGCCCCTCCCAAATGAGCCAGGCAGAAAACTCGCATCAAAGTTCAGGCTGGGGAATCATTTAAGAGGATAGTGCCTTTTAACAATAACATCAGAGACTTCAGGCTGTATGTTAGCTGGAACAGGTGAGAGACAGAGCCAAGCTGTCGTCACCAGCTTATAAAGGACTCAGAAGCTCATGTTCTCCAAAATACTGAAAGTATGCTCAGATGATGTGCAGAAGCTAGATTTCAGCTGTATTCATTGTTCCCTGTACAGGGTTTCCTGAAGTCATAGCACCGTAAGAGCGGCCACAGTGGGTTACAGCAGGGGTGCCTCTGTCGCTGTGTTCAGTTGCCAACAGTCTCGCTGTGGATGCTCGAGCAAGAGCAAGAACAGGCCAAGCACACGCAGTGCTTCCCCCGTGATACTCTCCCAGCTTTCAGCTACTTCTATCAGGCTCTGGAAACACCCCAAGATTAAATTTGCCCATTCAGCAGCCCCCAGCCGTGCTCTCTCTTTCAAGTGTTATCTAGTCTCCTCCTGACCTCTTAATTCAACAGGTCTGCAAGACCCACACTACTACTACAGGGAGCAATGTGTGGCATTTTTGTTTAATGTCATCCACTGGGATCACTAAATATATATTTCACTATTCACCAGAAAAAACATGCTTTTAATCCTCATTATTGCAGAGGACATCTGAAGATTGCCACATGGGCATACCCTAAAGGCTCCTAGGACACCTGACAGCAGCACATAAAGGAAAGGGATGGGTGATAAAGCAGCATATAAGCTTTCTGCAGACCTTCAGAGCCAGTCTCAGGGGGCTGACAATAACCTGGGCTCCAGAGCAGCCACAGACCTTCATATTTTAACAGCGATACAGCAGGAAGACTAGACAGTTTTGTCTCCAGTCTGAAACCTGGGCCAAGATTTTTTGCCTGTAAACATTTAGGAGGAAAACCTGACCTGCCGAAAACAGCTTCCTTAACGCTCGTTTCACCTGGCCTCTTCCAGGCATCCTGGAAGCAAAAATGCTGTAGAGCTCCCTTATGATGCCAGGTGGACACGCTCAGTGCCCAGAGGCTCCTTCATTTGGCCTCCTCCATTTGCTATTTCTCCAGTAAAGTAACTCCTTTTCAGCTCTGCTTTAATAAATAGTAATAGTCCTTCGTCTCTTTTCCTGCCAGCCCTCCGATGTCATTCAAGGTGATTCAGAAAGCTTTTGGTACCAGTCAAAGACAATGCCTAAAAATTTCAGGAGAGGAAGAAAACAAGTTTCCCATCGAAGCACAGCATGCTGTGCATTGCAGCCTGATCCAAACACGAAGTAGTGAGCTTCCCAGTGTCTGTCGCTACAGCTGGAGACCTGCCTGGCACCCTGCACCCTCCGAGAGTGCAAACACGGGGTGTAGAAGGGACCGAGCCCTTCCTACACCTGCAGCGGTATCGTGGCGCAAGCCCCACGTGAGCGAGGAGGGGCATGCCCGCCTCGGCAGGCAGAGTATCCCTAGCAGCATTTTTGGCATGTTTTTCACTTTTCACTGATAAGCCCTTCTGGGTCTTCCTGCTGCACCGCAGCCATCCCAGCATCTGTGAAAGCAGCATTAGGGATGGTTTGCAAGGCAGCACCTGCGTATCGACGGCTGGGATGCTCCAGCTAGGTGCCGTGGATTGGCAAACACAGCACCGCTGGTGGCACGGAGAGCTCAGTGACCCAGGGACACTTTCTAGAGACCCGCACACATGCGATGCCAGGCCCTGGGACCAGCCCAGGGAGGAGGGGGTTGCAGTCTCCTTGTATGGGGTGCTGGTCCACAGAGGTGAAGAGACTGAATTGCTCAACAGTACATTGTATTTTAATCTAATCTTGTGAAATCAGGATGTACTGGAGATGATGCATTCCCTTTTCCTCCTACAACAAAGCATATAGGAGTTCAGACAGCTGCCAGCATGTCACCTCCAGTCCTGGTGACGTGGGCTTCAGTTCCTTGCTAACTGCAGTTCCTGTGGAAAGATTTTGAGCCTGGAATGGAGACGCAGGACAACTACTGCAACAGTGGGATAGAGATTTACCAGAAGGTCCTAAAATGCATTGGGAAGCAACTAGGAGGGACAGAGGACAGGAGGACCACTTCTGCGACATTGCTGCTTAAAGCAGCACCACCCAAGGGCTGCTCCAGAGGAGCCGTGCCCTGCTCTGAAAGCCCCACACTGCTACTTAGGACGGACAAAAGTGGTCAGTGTGGGGTTTAGTGCCATTTCACACCTCCAGCACCTACAAGGCTCACAGGCTGGCACATCCCAGCAGAAGATCAAAGACCTATTCAGCTTACGCCATCGAGCCCAAGCCCATGCACCCACCTGGACCCTCCCCTTGTCATCTTCACAGATCCTTTCCTTCCTCACCACGGGTGGGCTGGGAGGGGGTGTGAGGAGGATTACCCATACAGATATCCCCTAACAGCCCTGCCCAGGCATCAACATATAATAAACTCTTTATGATTGCCAAAGACCCAGCCAGGCTAGAGACGTCCCAGCCTCGTTAGGCTTCCTCCAAAACATGGAAGAAGGAGGCAAAAGGAGGAATTGCCGTGTTTTCAGCGTTTCTGAACACACTGCATTTCTTTGGAGACGGCAGAGCATGTGGCAGGCAGCCAGCTCCAGATTAGCTTGTTTTCCACCTGGTTTTCTAGGTCCAGGTGCAATCTTTCAGAGCAGGGAACCAGGGGCTGGGGAGGAGAAACCCACCTCCAAAGGGGGAGTTTTCTAATCAGCCTCCCCCAGCTGCTCTCTCTTCCTCCCCCAGCAGCAAGGACCAGCCCCAACAAGCAGAACGATACCGAGACACCTCACCATCCAGGCTGCTGCTCACAAGATTCAGGCTGTGGCAAAATGAAAGGTAAGTAAGTGGATTGCGTCCTGCCTCCAGCCCCTGAGCAATTAAGAGATTAATGCAGCCCTTTAAAACGCGGGTGATGTGTAGATTTTTAGAGGATTTCACTTTCCAACCTCAAAGGCCTGAGGGGAGGGAGAAGAAAAACAATACCTTTTTCTCTACATTGTCAAGTATCAAAAACTCAGTCTGCATTTGGTAAACACTCGCTCCACCCGCTTAAAATAGGTTAAAGAACAAGTCCCTCTCCATTTACTAATAGGTAAACTGAGGCACAGCTCTTAAGTGAGTTTATCAAAAGTTAGGGAAAACCTTTGCGGCAGAGGGACATATAGAAACCCCATCTTTAACATCGCTTTATCCCAACCATTTGGCAGTAGAGCTGCACAAAATGACGGCTGGAGGAGCTGGCACCAGTGGCCATTAGTGCTCTTCCAGCCCCGGTTTGCAGAGATTCATTATGGGCACCTTACCACTAGATCTGTGATTCTGCATTGCCAGGTAGGAATCGTACACGTCCTTCCTCAAGAAGTTGAGAAAGCCGATCTTCCTGGCAAACCTGCAGACGAAAGCCTGCTCGTAGAGGCAGTTGAGGAGAAAGCAGCCCTGGATGTGGTCTTCCTCTGTGCCCGGGACCTGCTCCACAAGAGCCAGGTTACAAGCGGGGTCCTTACAGCAGGCTCTCATGCAGTCCCTGCTCCGAGAGACCATGGGGGACGACAAGAAGGTGGCTCCATTCTGGACGGAGGCGTCTGTATCCAGCACCAAATCCGGCACCGCCCCAAATCCGGCCCCCCTGCCGTAAAGTCCTCCAGGCACGTTTCACCGAAAGGTTTTTCTTCCTGCCCTTCGCCGAAGTTCACCACCAGCACCAAGCAGACCCAGAGCACAAACCATGGACCTGGACTCCCTCTGGCCATCTTCGCACCCCGATCCTCACTGCCTTGAGTCCTTAATCCTTTCCTAAAGGAAAGGAGAAGATAGATGAAGCTAAAAGGGAAGGTATCCAGGTGCATGCCACCCCGGGGCGAGCG